CAGATCTTCTTTGAAGAAATGTCTGTTCAAGTTCTTTGCCCATTTTTGAATCAGATTGCTTGTTTTTATTGTTGAGTTTTAGAACTTTGTATATTCTGGATATTAATCCCTTATTAGATGAGTTGTACAGTTCACAAATTTATCCCTCCCATTCTGTTGGTTGCTTTTTTAGTCTGTTGATATAGTTCTTTTAATGCACAAAAGTTTATGATTTTCATGACGCCCAATTTGTCTGGCTTTTCTTTTGCAGCCTATGTATTTGGTACCAAATCTAAGAAACGATTGGAAATTCAATGTCTTGAAGCTTCTCCCCCATGTTTTCTTCTAAGAATATTAGGTCTTACGTTTAGGTCTTTGATCCATTTTGAGTTAAGTTTTACATATGGCTTTAACTCTGGGTACTTCATTCTTTCATACATGGACATACAGTCTTCCTAGTGCCATTTGTGGGAAAGATTGTCCCTTTCCTATTGAATGGTCCTGGCACCGCTATCAAAAATCACTTGACCATGTACATCAGAGTTCATTTCTAAGCCCTCTGTTCTTTTCCACTGGTTTATATGCCAATCTTTATATCCATTCCACACTGTTTTGATGACCATAGCTTTGTAATTAGTTTTGGAATCGGGAGGCATGGTGTGAGTCCTCCAACTTTGTCAAATTTGTTGGTTTTTTCAAAGCACCAGCTTTAAGTTTCATTGATTTCCTATATTTTCATTCTGTTTATCTCTGCTTTAATCTTTATGATGTCCTTTCTCCTGCTTGCTTCAGGGTTAACGTGCTTCCTTTTATTAGTGTCTTAAGGTGGGAGGTTGGGTTATTTGTGAGTTTCTAAATTTTCCTCCTGCTGTTGGGGAAAATTAGTGCTCGTGTGGGACAAGGTGTTGATTGGAAGGATGTAAGCAATTGCATACAAGACCGCAAGGGCGACCAGCCCTCGGGGGCTGATGTGAGCCTGGCACTCTTTGGCACTATGTCCATTGGGTCTAGGAAGGACCTGAACTTCCCCTTAATTTCAAATCTCGGGGATGCCAGGCAGTGTGGCTGGATGGGTCTATAACCCACTTGGGTTAGTTGTACTTGGGCTGGAGCCTCTGGGGGTGGAGGGTCTACTGGTGGATCTAGCCCAAGCTGAGACATTAGACAAAGGGCAGCAGGTCTGAGGATGCAGGTTGTTCCAGAGGAACCAGATTTTTTTCAGGAAACATCTCTGCCAGATGGCTTTGTCCGAGCCAGTGTGACCTTTTGGAAGAGGACATATATGATCATTCCGTCTTTGGTGGAGTGTACTTGTTAATGTACAATCTCTAAACAGTATTTCTAACTGCTGGGCACCTACTTTAAATGTTCCCCAGGCAACTCAAACCCACCATGCCTAAAGCAGAAGGCATAGGCCCCACTGCCTTGCCCACTGCCCTGTGGATTCCTTCCCACACCTCGTTCTGCCCCCGAGCCTCAGCCACCAGCACCTTCCTCCTCATGCATGTTTAGTTTTATAAGAAGCCACCAAACCATCTTCCAAAGTGGCAAGTCCCATCAGCAGTGAGGAGAGCTCTGCTGCTGCACATCCCCACCAGCATGTGGGGTGGTCGGTGTTCTGGATTTCGGCCATTCTGATACGTTTGTGGTAGCTCGTTTGAATTTGTGTTTCTCTGATGACGTGTGATGCAGAGCATCTTTCCATGGGCTCATTTGCCATCTGAACGTCTTCTTTGGTGAGATCTGGTTGTTGTCTTCTTATTGTTAGTGTTAGAGGAGTTCTTTGTATATATTGGATACCAGTTCATTCTGAGATAATTCCGAGAATTATCTTCTCCCAGTCTGTGGCCTCTCTTCTCCCTCTCTTGACTATGTCACTTGTGGAGCAGAAGTTTTTAATTTTAATAAAGTTCCTCTGATTATTTCTTTCATTCATGAATCAGGCCTTTGATGCCATATCTAAAAAGTCTTTACCAAATGCCTGGTCATCCAGGCTTTCCCCTGTGTTATCTTGTAGGAGTTCTATAGTTTTGCATTTTTACATTTAGGTCTGTGATCCATTTTTAGTTAGTTTCTGTGAGGGTGTGAGGTCTGGTCTAGGCTCCTTTTTTTTTCTTTCTTTTTTTTTTTTTTTTTTGGCATGTGAATGTCCAGTTATTCCAGCACCATTTGTTGAAAATGGTATCTTGGCCTTACATTTCCTTTTTTGTCTGACTGCAGGTGTAGCCAGGACTTCCACTATGGTGGAAGGAGTGTGAGACCAGACATCCTGGCCTTGTTCAAGTTTCTCATCATGGAGGAGGATGTTAGTGGTAGGATTTTTGTAGATGTCTTTATCAAGTGGAGGAAGCGCCCCCTGCATTCCTGGTTTCCTGAGAGTTTTTTTTAAAGGAATTGGTTGAATTTTGTTAAATGCCTTTTCTGGATCGATTGATAGGATCATGCAGTATTTTGTCTTTAGGCCTAATGATGGGATGGAGCACATTAATGGATTTCAGAATGTCGAAGCCCTGCACCCCCAGGACACATCCTGCTTAGTCATGGTGTGTAATTCTCTCTATACAGTGTTGGATTCAATTTGCTGTTTTGTTGAGGATTTTTGCATCTGTGTTCATAAGACATGTTGGTCTATAGTTCTCTTTTCCGGTAGTGTCTTTGTCTGCTTTTGATATTAGAGTAATACCAGCCTCAAAGAGTGAGTTATGTAGTACTCCTTGTGCATCTGTCTTTTGAGTGAGATTGTAAGGACCTGGTACAACTTATTCTTCAAGTGCTTGGTAGAATTGACCAGTGAACCCATCTGGGCCTGGTGCTTTCTGTGTAGGCAGATTATTAATGACGGATTCTGTTTTTTAAATAGACATAGGCTTATTGAGACAATCTATTTCTTCTTGTAAGAGTTTTAGGAGATGATGTCTTTCAAGAAAATGGTCCATTTTTATCTGGTTTACCAAGTATGTGGGCTTAGCGTTGTTTCTGGTATTCCATATTTATCCTTTTAATGTCCACAAGATCCATAGTAATGACTCCTCTTTCATTTCTGATATTAGTAATTTGTGTCCTCTCATTTTTTTTTTCTTAGCATGGCTGGAGGTTTATTCATTTTTTAATCTTTTTGAAGGACCAGCTTTGAGATCATTGATGTCTCTATTGATTTCTTGTTCCTAATGTCACTGGTTTCTACTCTAATTTTTTATTCTTTCTCTAGTTTCCTAATTAAAGCTTGGATTACTGATTTCAGATCTTTCTTCCTTTCTGAACCACATAGCAGGGGGGTCCATACAGATAGCTCTGTAGGCTGCAAGTTCTCTGGCCAGGCACCAGACAGTAAGTATTTAGGAGAATGGAGTAAACTGGGCTACTTCCTTGGGCAGTAAATTTATATGACTTGTCTTTTCTGTGTACCTTTGTTTGCATGTGTGTGTGTGTTTATGGCAGCCAAAGATGCTGACCAGTGGGCTCTCAGCTTGGATGGCATGTTGGAGTCACAGGGTTTTTGTGAAATGCCCTAGTGGCCGAGCCCCACCATGAGCTCCTGGTGGAGTTGACCTGGGCATGGGGCTTACTGGATGCACTCAGGCGGTTTGGATGTGAGCCCAGGTGGACACTACTGTCCCAGACACTTCCTGTCATAATTCCTCATTCACCCCTGTTGCCCCAGAACTTAAATGAGTGTTAATCACTAAGAAGCGGGAAAAAGAAGTTAACGTCAAAGCAACACCCCAATAGTAGTCTCAAGCTGAGTTCTTAGTGCCCCTTACCTCTAAGATAGCCCCCCGCCCTGTGTCACCCCAGGGTCTTTCTGGGATGGGAGTTCCAAGAAACCTAGGAGGATTGAAGAACCTCAATGAAAAGATGCCCCAAAGTCTAACAAAAAGATTTCTTTCTGAATGTGCCCATTAGGTTGCCTCCTACAAGACGGTCAATGCCCAGAAGTTGGGAGCCCCATGGCCCAGTGTGTCCCTTCTTCTCAGGTGCTTACAGAGACCGGTGGGGACAGAGGCCTGCCTCAGAGTGGGACCCTAGGCGATGAAAACATCCTCATTTCAAAGCTTCTGCTCTTGCCTTTGTTGGTAGAGCCCAGAGCTGATGGCCTGGGGGCTTTGATGGGCCCACCTGGAGTATAGACTTGGTGTGGGAAAGAGATCAGGGCTGAAGGCCCAGAGATTGACAACCCATTGGTGGGTTGCTAGAGAGGGAGAGACAAGAGAGTCACATTAGGGGTGGGAATGAGAATACTGAGACAGATAAAGGAGGAGGAGAATAGAAGTGCCCTCAGAGTCCCTGAGGGAAAGGTGGGGAAAGCTGATCACCCCAGGGGAGGGGCAGCCCCCAGCAATAAGGCTGGAGAGAGAGGCTAGGACCCCAAGGCATCCCAGAACCATCGTGAGGACCATCCAAAGGCCTGGAGGGCCAACAGGTGTAGTCAGGCACCTGCTCTCTGCCCTGTCTCCCACCCAAAGAACCGGCCGCAGGGGGATCCTGTCCAGAGAAGACTGGGAGACTGCCCCAGGCCAGGCTGCATCTACCTTCTTCAAGCGAGGTCTACGCTGGGAGTGTAGCAGTTCAGGGACCAGGGCTCAGGCCCAGCGAGCAGAGGGAAGTGGTGGACCTCCCTCCACACACATGCCCCCAAGCCCAGGTGTTCAATTGTTCAGGAGAACCTGGTGGGTGGGCATCCCAAGGCTCCAGAGCCATGACAGGCTCACGCTCCGGTGGGAGCCGGAAGAGCCGTGTGGATCCCTCCCGTCGGGAGTGTAGGGCCGCTAGACAGATACTTCAGGGACAGCAAGGGAGCAGGAGAGAAAAGGCTGGCGGCGGAGGGCTAGGTAGGTGCTGAAGGTGGGTGACAGATGAGTGGCCAGTGACAATGACTGGGGACTTGGCAGACATGTCTCTGAGAGTGTGGGGACCCCCGGAGGGCACCCCTCAGGTTCCCCTGGTCTGGCTGGCTCTGAGCACACGCATTCTCTCCCGTCAGCCTGTGTGTCACGATTTCCTACCCTCTGTGTCCCTCCCAGATCCGGACAAAGGACAAGGTCTTCGACAGCATCAGCCACCTCATCAACCACCACCTGGAGAACAGCCTGCCCATCGTCTCCGCAGGAAGCGAGCTCTGCCTCCAGCAGCCGGTGGAGAAGGCTCCGTGACCGGACAGCCACCTGTCCTGACCCCGCACCGAGGGTCAGGAGTCCTGCTTCTTCCCGGAAGACGGATATGAAGGCTCCGGAAACTCAGGCCGCTGCCCGCGGGCTCAGAGCCTCATCCAAATGCCCCAGGAGGAAAGTGTCCGTCAAGTGCAAGTTTCATAAACTTGTTCAGATTTTCTCATGTGCATATTAAAGGTGTACATACCTATACACTGTACAAATTATCCCTCTATATTTATATTTTTTAAGACTAAGAGAGATGTAAGACTAACGTTCTGTGCTGTATGTTTTTAATGAGAAAAAAAAAAGTTTGACTGTAGTTGTCCGGGCAAAAATTTAATCCAACTGACCCATTCTACTGAAAAATTCCACTAGGAAGGTGTTGCCTGCAGCTTTATCTGATAAGCCCCACGTAGGGGAGAGAAGCAGGCAGGAGGGCTGGGAGTCGACGTGGAGTTGTAGTGGAAGAAGGCAGGCTGCTCCCCAGAGCAGTTGAGCTCTGCACATAACCCTCCGTGAATGGCTGGTCCTGGTTGCTGTCGCTTGGAGTCGCTGGTGTCCCTTCGTCTGTGATGCGTCTCCCCCAGTGGTCGGCCTCACACCTGTGCGATCGCAGTGCTGATGGCTGGTGCCGCTGTGCTAAGGAGAAGGGGTGGGGGGTGGCCCAGCTTTTCCGGGCGGTGCTGGGCACAGGAATGCTGTCTTGACCAGTGTTGTCCAGGGGTCTGTTTGATGGCCAAATGGGGGTACAAAATGAGCCTCAGTGACCAAGATCTTGACTGGCACATGCTTTCCATATGGTCATCTGTGTAACGACAAACCAGTATGTGCGGAGGGCTGGGGGGCAAAGTCTTGGTTTCTGTGTCCTTCTAGCCCACACGCCGATCGCAGCTGCCGGGGTAGATGCTAGGAAACAGCACGCCACCCCCCGCTATGCGCTGCGTCCTCGGCAGACGCCAACACGCGCGCTCAGCCCTGAGACCTCTGCACGGCTGTTGCTCCCACTTCACCTTTGTCTCGGGCTGGGGACTCGGGAGTTTGGGGAATCGGATTGAGTTTTTGCTGCTCAAGTGGTTGGTGGGTAATGCGGCTGGCTGTCTCTGCCACGGATTTTCCAATTGCTCCCTGGAAAGGGCCTATGATTTCTTACCAAGTCATTTGGGGCCAACAGGGGTGACAACGTTTCTAGTTTTAAAAAACACCTGGTTGAGGTTAACTTGTGATTTAACAGATGCCGTCTTTTAAAAGCCGAAGGGCTCACCTGTCGGTAGGCAGCCTGTCTCTGGTTCCACGTCCAGGCTCCCATCCCGTGCCGTCCCACAGCCCGCGGGGGCCCTGGGTCAGGGCTGCGGGACTTTCTGCACACTAATAGTGGGGCAGGAATAAATTTGATGCTTCAAGAATGAGGACTTAAGGCTGGATTTTAAACATTCTGATGAATAGTAATTCTGCAAAGTTCTATTTCTGAAGGAGCCCCATTTCTGTTTTCAGGGTGTGGGTGTGTGTCCAGGATGGAAGGTGGGGTGCAGCGCATGGGTGACATCGGGCAGGTCCGAAGATTTGTGTGGAGGCTTCTTAGGAGTTTTTGTCCTTTGAGGGTCCAAGGAGTCCCAGAAAACAGTGGCTTCGATCTCCTAGAATGTTCTGCCATGGGTTAGAACTAACGTAGGGCCACCCACCCATCCTGGAGCAGCTCTGGTTTCAGTCTCACGAGGAGACCCCACTCCACGTTACCCAGAAGCAATGGGAGCTGAACAGGGCTGGGGCAGCAGCTGGTTGGGGGGCAGCTGTGGGAACCCCTGGTGTCCCGTCCCCTGGAGGCCTGCAGCCCTGCAGATATACATAGAGGTCCCAGCCCAGTGTGTGAGTGTCCACACATATAATAAACGGATGAAATGATTTCTCTGGATGGCCTGCGGGGCCCGCTGGGTAATCTTAAGGGCTGGCCCCAAATTCTAATATTTAAGGGCAAAGTAGGAAAGGCTGGTTAGGGACCCGGAGACCCTGCACAGCTGACCTGTGTTCTTTGCGCTCCTGGGGATGTGAGAAATGATCATCAGTACGGTTAGAGCTCCCTGCTGTGCAGTCAGTGATTAGCTCAGTGGTGATAAGCAACATATATCCTGTCTTTTTGCATGAGAATCAATTTAGAAAATTAGAAATTTGGAGGCGATCAAATTTTGTTTCAATATTAATTCAAAATATGTATTTTGAAGTTCGGATTCCAGGATTGCTTACAACACAACAGGCCAGTGGGAATCTGGGCTTTTCTGTAGCTGCCAGAGAGCCAGCAGATGGCTGCCATTCTCTCATGGTCATCCCTCCCCTGTGTGAGGCGGGTTGGGGCCCCACAGGTCACCGCAGCTCCCCTTCAAGGCCGTGAAATGGGCATGATAGGGAGCCCCACTCACGGGGCAGAAACTGAGGCATGGTGGGCGCCTCACGCTGCTCTAAGCCATGCAATGGACAGGTGCAGAGCTGTGCTCCCTCCACGTTTCTGGGCTCTGCTGCGCCTGGAGAGCAGGATTCCCAGGCAAAGACGGCCATTCCCCGCCCAGCCTGGGTGCCCCCTCATCCGGACCCGGACCACACCTCTGCCAGGCAAGTCTGTGTGTTCCTGGACCATTTGCTGCTCAGTGTGCCCAGCCCCCCGGAGCCCACGGGGCACTGGACATGCTGCTTCTCAGCCCAGGCCTCTGGCAGGCACGGCAGGTCCCGCAGGCCCACGACAGCCATGTCACCCACTGCCCCTCTCACCCACACCACTACGTGTGAACGAGTGGGACTTTCATCGGTGTTTCGGTGAGCCCTGATTCTGGGGGCCCCAAACCGCCCCGTGGACTGTCTGACGGCCAACCCATTCAGACGTTCCCATCCCCGACTCTGTGCGGACGCTGCCACTCCCGGGTTCTCAGCTCGAGAGGTCAAGGGGCCCAGCAGCCGCGTCACTGTGACACACGTTTCACCGTTGGACGCTGTCTCAGGTGTTGGGGTGGATGGGCAGAGAGAGACCAAGGTCCAGGGATGGAGGCTGTGTCCGATGGCACATGGCTCCTTCCCATAAGTGACCCTCAGAGACAAAAGTTCTAGTCCTCCCTTTCCTGAGTCAGTCCCATGGTGAAAGCAATTCCCACAAGATCACAGGCCTCCCCAGAGCCGCACGGCCTCACGTTGTTGCTGGGTGTCTCTGAGCGCCACCCTCCCGCACCCCTCCCGCGAGATGGAGCGGGGGGTACTCGTGAATATACGGAAGCGGGAAGGACAGTTGCTCCTCACGCAGGTGCGATGGGCTCCCTCGCTGTGTTCCCACACCGGCGGGTCATCTGTGCCTTTCTGCGGGTGGCCACAGCCCGATAGGAAGGGGACGGGAATTGTGGAAACACTGCGCTTAGGTCATTGTGTACCGCAGACAGATCTCAGTCCTGAGTATTAGGGTAATACCTGGTGCTGCAGTCGAACTCAAAAAATTTGTCCTGAGAGAAATGAATTGGGAAAACCACTTTATGAGAAGGTGTTGCAACCTGGGCATGCCAGGGCCTCCCAGGGGTAACAAGCAAGGGAGCAGTCTAGGATGTGCCGCTGCAGAAGTGAGGGAGCTGGGGCCAGGTGACTTGCTGGAGCGCGGTGACAGTCAGTGGCTGAATCTCGGACAGAGAACAGGACTTATTAGGGTCCTTTACAATTTGGGTATAAAGCTCAGCCCCTGGTGGAAAATGGCGCAGAGCTCTTCCCTCCTCCTTGGGTTTGCATTCATGCTCATTCTTTTCACAAAAGGCATAAAGACGGGAGTCTTACACGGATAAGGAAGTGCTTCTGGGGTGCTTCAGAAGCAGACCCTGAGGTGGTCTAACTGTATGTCGTTTCTCTGGGGGTGCCCCAGGGGCGGGGAAGGGAAGGAAGCGGAGGACAAGGGCACGCTTAGGCAGGTCACCGTGATGTGGAAGATTAACGGCGCCAAGGGACAGCAGGAGATGGGGCTGGACACACATCAGCGTTCACCCAGCAGCCCATCACACACAGAAAGCAGGCCCTATGCACACCTGAGCACGGGGTGGGGGTCCCAGGCAGGGCGACTGGCCTCCAGGCTAAGCAGATCTGGAGTGGACGGACAACGAGGCCCCACCCCAGGAGGTCTGCACAGGAACCAAGAGTTTGCATTTCTAGTAAACTGAGCGACGCTGGTGGGGAGTGTGGACTTTGAGAACCGCCATGCGGTGTGAGCTGCTGGCCTCTGACCCTCCCTTGTTGAGGGTTTTCCCCCTCTAATTTAGGACTTTGTTTTCCCACCACCTCATGTCACAGATCCCAGAGTCCATGCTCTGGGCTTTCCAAGTGGAGGATTAATAAGTGTTTAGAACTCCATGCAGTCGCTGCTGGCACATACAATGCCATCTGCCAGCCACGATTTATTTATAATGGGGTTTATACATATTTATAAGTTTGCAAGCAACAAATGCACAGTTTAAAAACTGGCCCATTTTGTAGTAGCTAGAAAAGCTGCAATTTCATACCAGGCCTTTGAATGTCACCGTGTGCATGCACACATGTACCTACACTGGTCAGGACGGATGCACACCTGTGTGTGTGTGTGTGTGTGTGTGCGCACGCGCGTGCAGGTGGGCCACCTGGGTGGTACACATCTCGAGACTCCTTCCCGTGTTTTGGTATTTTAACCAACAGGGACAAGAAGAAAGTGAAACGGATGTGCAGAGTTAGGCATCTGCAGACACGTGGAGGAGGGTCCTGGATGCTGCAGGGTGTGGGGCCTGAGGGCAAAGAGAGTGGGGACAGACAGGAGGGCCCCGGAGGAAGTCACAGAGGGATGGGAGGCAAGGGAAGCCAGCAGGGGAAGACAAGGCCAGGAGGGAGGCAGTGGAGGAGGATGGAGGTACATAGAAGGGTTTTACCCGGCAGAGTGCGGCATCTCTCAGAGACCAGAGAGGAAAGACAGGGAGGGGCTGGCGTGGCAAGGCTGTCCCCACCAGGTGTGCTAGGGAGAGCTGGGAGAGCCCAGCCAACCTGCTCTTGGCCTGGTCTGTGCATTGGTTCCTGTGTGGCAGGCACGCCGCTGGGCTTCTTGTAGGAGACAAGCACGCAGGGAGCATGAGCATGTGAGAAGCCTGATGGCTGACAGAGTCACATTCCACAGGACATGGAGGCCGGGGCTCCCAGGGGATGTTGGGGTGGGAGTGCCAGAGCGGGCAGACA